CAGACTTTTCTCTCTGCCCCTTGGTTTGGAGAAGGAGCCAAAAATGTACCTGGAAAGAAAGCTGGGACTGTTTTCTTTATCCCCAGAGGGAGCATTTTCTAAAAGGCATTTAAAAAAACGGTCAGTTTTCTGAAGAAGATTGCCTGTGTGCCACTGTTTGTCAACTTCAGTTTTCTAGGCAAACTGCCCCCAAAGAAAAGCAGATAGTCTGGCAATCAACAGGATGTGCCCTTTACACAGCTGTATATGCGGCAAAGCCATTAGGAGATTGACCTGGAATGACAGTACTTTGGCTAATAATGGTTTTGTTATAATCTTTGCCCCTCAGCTAGTTGTTCCCATTTCTTGCTGGGTGTGGTCCAAGGAAACCAGGCAGTATTGTATGGGGGGGGGGTATTTCCTGCCCATCTGACTTACTAGCTGGTTGTGTGTGTGAAGGCAGCTGGTGACCTTTTGAATTACAAAAGCTTTGGGTGGGTGGAAGGGAAAAGGGTGAGAGATCCTGTTTTATTGTTCCCTGAATGGCCTCTCCCCTTAGGAATGCATGAGAATAAGGGTGGTGGTGGGAAGTGGCCCTAAATTCTATTTGTAGGGGTAGTGCCATGGCTCAAGGGATTGTATTTGTGTCTTCTGGAAGGAAGTTTTTACTGGCTTCTGTGGAAAAATTCCTTCTTGTGTCCCCAGCTCCAGCATTGAATCCTTAATTGTTTTGTTTTGTTTTAATCAATTCAATTGGGTCCGGTTTTTGGAGACTGCCTGGACAAGTCCCTGCAGTTTTCTTGGCAAGGTTTTTCAGAAGTGGTTTGCCATTGCTTCCTTCCTAGGGCTGAGAGAGAGTGACTGGCCCCAAGTCACCCAGCTGGCTTTGTGCCTAGGCAGGACTAAAACTCATGGTCTCCCAGTTTCTAGCCTGATATCCCTAGCCAGAATATTCCAGGCCAGAATAGGATTTATTTTATGGTTTTCTTTCCACTTCTAAAGGGGCGCTGGAAGGACGATGGTCAGAGACTCTGTCAAATATAGTTTAAATATTTTCAGAATCTTATTTTGTAGAAGAACAGAAAGCCCTATGCTTTAATCAACACATTTGCTAATTACTGAAACTAATGGTGACTGTGAAAAAATGAAATTAAGCCTTGAGATAAATTGTTATAATATAAGGGAGTCTCTCCTAAAATAGGAATGATTCACAGAACAATTCTCTATGATTTTTAATGCTAGGAAAATCATGTTTAAAGCAGACAAAAAGTCAAATCAATAACATCAATCAATTTCAAAAGGCCCTTGTACTCATTTGGCAGCTGATTAATTCTTTAGGCATTATGGCTTCATTTGACAGTGTTTCACTTCAGTGAAATAATGGATAATTAGCAACGTTGGAGCTTTGGGTTGTAGCATTTGTTAGCTAATTACCCAATTCCAACTGTTGGAATGCTTGTAGTTTGCTCCTGACACTTTATAGATGCCCTATGTCCTCCTACTTCCTGGAAGAGCCTGGTGTTGCAATGCAGCTTTGCTGAAAAAAATGTTTGCCAAAGTTGGAACTGGTGGGGAGGGGTTTGAAAAGTTGAGCACGTGGAGGACTCTTCTTGGGCCCTTTGTAGGCATAGACCTCAGCCAGGCAGAGGATCAAGTACCTCTTTAAAATTTATTCAGTTTGTTGTTTCATAATGGCCTGATGGTAATACCTTGCTTCTCCTGAGCCAGGCCAAGCAAAACTAGAATTAATTATGGAAATTTGACTAATTTACACAACTCAGTATTCTATGTTCAGTTTGTGTGTGTGCAGGAATATGAACCTTACGGGAAAGGTATCATTTTGCATGTGGCCTTGCAATGTATACAGTCTTGTTTTTATTTATCCAAATTCAAGATTTGTTTTTAACATTGGCAGTAAATTCTTTTGAACAATTAACTGCAATTTATTCTTAGCTCACCGTTTTGGGAACAGTGCATTTTTGCAATAATGCTTTTGAAAGATCTTGTCAGCTGTAGGGTTCCTAGAAACCCTGAGGAAGGATGATAGAAAATATTTTCTAGCTTAATCTTTCAAAATTTTAAGAGGAGTTGCTACATTTAGCAGTGGCTTTACTTTTACAGAAGGTTCAGAATTGAGGGTCTTTCTTGTTACTTTTCCAGCTTCCTCTGGAATCCAATCCAGAACTGGCCAAGAGAATGAGAGATGTTTTAGTGGATCAGCCCTCTTCATAGAATACCCTGCTAAGAGGTTATGTGCTTTTTAGCCACTTGTATTATAATATAATCTTTTTCTGTGGCTTATTTACGAGGAAACCTTGATCCATTAAGATCCTTAGGATAGAGGACAGGCTGAAATAGTTTAATAAATCAATAAATAAAATAATGGAGGAGGAAGAAGGATGATGACCTTGCACTTAAAAGCCTTCCAAGTGTGGGCATTTCTGTAGAACAAGGTGAAATTACTCATACTAAAAGTTAGTGTGGTGGAGAAGAGCATTGCACTTCTGTATGAATGGTGGAACTTGTTCTCCATGGGGAGGTAAAATCAGTTTGGAGAGTGATTGTTAATGACATTTGGCAGAACTGGGATTGGGGGGTATGTCCATCCTTGTGCTCCATGATCTCTCAGCAGCTTTCAATAGCATCAATCATGGTCCAGCTGGGAATGGTGGGCACCATATTATGGTGGTGCTTCTCCTTTCTTTGTGGTTGGTTCCAGTGGATGCTAATGGAGGGGAGAGGTCAAAACCATAGCCCCTCATTTGTGGGATGTCTCAGAGATTGAAATTCTTCCCCTTCTGTTTAATATCTGCATTACACTGCTAGGTGAGATCATCTGTTAGTTTGGGGTTCAATATGATCAGTATGCTAATGATACTCAGTTATATGTCTTGATACTGGGTTATCCAAGTGGTGTTGTCAATGTCCTGTCTCAGTGCCTGGAGGCTGTTCAGATCTGGATGGGGAGGAACAGACTCAGGCTCAATTCTGACAAGACCAAGTGGTTGTGGATACTTGGGCTCCCCAGCTCTCAGGACTTTCCATCTTTAGTTCTGGGTGGGGTAGTACTTTCCCATTTGAGACTGGGGTGTAATCTGGGAGCAAGTGGCAGCTTTACCCAAGAAGGCCTTCAAACAGATTCATCTAGTGTGCCAGTTGTACTCATTCCTAATTCAGGAGGCCCTTAGATGGTCACTCATGCCCTAGCCACCTCAAAAATGGACCATTGCAAAGCACTCCACATTGGGCTGTCCTTGAATACCACTTGAAAGCTATCCCTGGTCCAGAATGCAGTGGTGTGGGCACTGGTATGCCATGGTATGCCCACGTAACACCACTGCTCTACAAGTGGCACTGGTTGCCAGTTGACTTCCGTGTGCAATTCAAGGTGCTGGCTGTCACCTATAAATCCCTTCATGGCATTTGAAGGACCAGCTATCTCTGATAATTTCTGCCCACCTAATAAGACCCTCTGGCTTTCCCTTGATCAAACAAGTTAATCTGTCAGGGCTGAGGAAGCATGGCTTCTCTTATCGTACAGCGCTTCTCCAGAATGGCTTCCATCCTGATGAAGTTCTGAAAGTATGGGACAAGTCTGCACAACATGTGGCCAGCTAAGCAGCCTTGTGTGGCCTGATGGAGTTTTTAAAAAAGTAATAAATTCACCATCACCCTGAAAGACATACTGCTGACCAGCAGCAGCTTCTGGTGCGTCAGGTATTCCTTTGCAGCCCATGATGATTTTTATTTTATTGGTGTGGCCCTTTCTCCTCTACAAGTGGTGTAGACTGGTCTGCAAAGCCTGGCTGTTCTCCCAGGCCTTGGGAAGGGTGGTTGTTGAGTCCCTGTAGGTTCCTCCTTTTACTTGATATGTATAGTTTGCTTCTGGATGTACATGATTTGTTTTTCTGTTTTATTGTTTCTTTCTTTCTTTTTTTTAAGCATAAGCCATCTGGAGTCAGGCAGCCTCTAAATTGTATGAATAAATAAAATTGACCCAGAAGTTGAGGTTCCACTAGTTTGGCAATTGTCTTGGGTTGTAGAGTAGAGTAGAGTGGACTTCACACTAAGAGGACTTTGTGGCAACAGATCTGCTGTAAACTTTCCAGAAGTATAGTCAGGTTAATTTGTATGATAGCTAAAACAAAAACTTGTGGCACCTTAGAAACTAACAATGTATTATGGTGAAAGCTTGGGGGTGTTTAATATTGACAGATGAATGAATAATATCCTTAGCTATATCTGTATGCGTGTGGTGGGAGGGAAAGCAGTGAGGCCAGTGGAAAAAGAAGCAGACCAAACAGGTAGGCATGATTCAAATGAAACTTGGAGATGTAAACTAAGTCATGATAGGTCCCTTGGTAACCAGGCATTCATGGTTCAACTTCATTGTGTTTTTAGAATACACTTACCAGTGCCAAGTTAGCTAACAGATCGCAGTGCATACCAGAGCTCTTGCCTATTGCTTGCTGATTGAGTGAATGGCAGGGCATAATTTCTGCCTTGGCCTCAGGAGAATTGTGTGGCACGCAAGAGGAATTGGTCTAGTCTACCTGACCCCGTAGAACCCCACAGGCACACGCTCTTCCAGTTCATGTGTGGTGAAATTGTTCTCCCTTGTATGTACTAGAGAACATGCTTAGCATAAAGATTCTCTTCAATGATTTGGATGTGGATAAGGTGACAGGCCTTCTCCAGGGTTGCCCCCACGCTTTGGAATGCTTTCCCTCCAGAGGTTTGTAAAGCCCCTCCCTGATGGCATTTAGAAGATCATTGAAGACAGTTTTATTTCACTGAGCATTCAACCCTAATGAAGAGTTTACTGGCATCCTTCTTGAAAGAGGGTTGACTTAACTCTTCTTGGGTTGGTTGGTTGGTTTTTAAATATCATTTTTAATGTGTTGTAGCTTGGCCAGATCCTTTCAATTGGGGTGGACTATTAAAAACAATTAAATAATTAAAATAAATGGGGAGATTGGGACAGTGGGCACTCTCTTCCCTGCTTTCTGTAGTACAGGGCCGAATCTCCCAAAAGTTGTTACTAATTGCTACTGGTCACCTGGAAGCCAGATTTGGGAGCCCACTTAAGGCTGTCAGTGGTGTTAGGAGAGAGTAATTTGGAAGAAGGTAGTGGCCGACCACATCTGTACTGCTGCCAAGAAAACATGGACCTATCCAGGCGATCACCAAGAAGTATCTTGGAGGGAAGCTCTACCTTTAATTTTTGTCAACCGCAAATCACATTTCAGCCTCTGCACTGAGATTTTAATTACTCTCTCTGTGCCTAGTTTTTTGAAAGGATGTTTTTAGAAAGTGTATTTGCTTACCAATAGCCTGTCTGTTTTGGTTCCCATTCTCTTACAATGCACATACTGCTTTATCACATGCCATGCTATGTTTCTTGGTGCAGCAGTTGACTGCTACTGCTTTCACTATAGCTCAGTGTTTCTCAATGTTGGCAACTTTAAGATGCGTGGACTTCAACTCCCAGAATTCCCCAGCCCGCT